GCTAAAGAATCCCTCTTTTTCCCTGCCTTTCCTTCCTTCCTTCCTTCCTTCCTTCCTTCCTTCCTTCCTTCCTTCCTTCCTTCCTTCCTTCCTTCTCCTTTTATTGAGCTCATTGCAGTGACACTGGTTAATAAAATTATACAGGTTTCAGGTGCTCAATTGCACTCACATCATCTGTACACTGTATTGTGTGTTCATCACCCCAAGTCTCCTTCCATCACCATGTGTCCCCCATTCCGCCCTCCATTTCTCCCCCCGTCCCAGCCTCAGTTTCTTTATCTGTAAAATGATGGTGATAAGACGACCTGTCTTACAGGATTATTGTGCCATTGTGATAGCCCATATAAAGTGCTTACAACAGGTTAGCTGTAATTAAAAAAATAAAAAGGGTGAGAAATCAATAAAATATATTTTTTAAAAAATATATCATTAGCCAATGAAGGCTAATGAAGGCTAATACACAGTACAACAATAATACACCATGACGAAGTCTAGTGTATTCGAGGAATGAAAGATTGGCTCAACCTTATGAAATCTGACAATATAATTTTTACATCAATAAAGAAACTTACCATATAATCATCTCCATATAGGCCAAAAATGCATTTGGTAAGTGTGAGCAGCCACTTACTAATAAAAACTCATGTAAAATGAAACTCCCTGATGCAGCTTTGATAAAAAGTATATTTTAGAAAACAAAACATTGTCCTTATGGTATAACAATAGAGGTCTCCTTACTAAAGTCAGGGACAATAAAACAATGCTCACTGTTACTGCTGCTACTTAGCACTGTTCTGGAGGTTTTACCAGTGCGATAAAGCAAGACAAAGAATTTTTAAAAATCAGTATTATTGGCAACGATTCTATTGTCGAAGGTTGTACTGGACAAGAAGTGTCCGCAACCAAGGTACATGCCCTTGACCGGAATCGAACCGGGGACCTTTCAGCCCGCAAGCTGATGTTCTACCCACTGAGCCAAACTGGTTAGGGCAAGACAAAGAAATTTTAAAAATCAATCTCATTGGCAACGGTTCTGTTGTCGAAGGCTGTATTGGACAAGAAGTGTGTGCTGTTGGGAAGAGGACCCCATGAGCTACGATGGTGAATTGGTTGGGCGGTGGGGTCATGGAGAGAGGGGCAGCCCTGTACTGCCACAGGATGCCTGACTGAAGTTTATCGCGGTATTTCTTTTTTCTAAAAAATCAATTTTTATTGTTTTTGAAAAATATATTTTTATTGATTTCAGAGAGGAAGGAAGAGGGAGAGAGAGAGAAACATCAATGATGAGAGAGAATCATTAATGGCTGCCTCCTGTAAGCCCCCTATTGGGGACGGAGCCTGCCACCCAGGCCTGTGCTCTTGGCAGGAATCAAACCCGGGGACCCTTCAGTCCGCAGGCTGATGCTCTGTCCACTGAGCCAAGCCGGCCAGGGCGGCAATATTTCTTGCTTGCAGCTGGCCGCGCTGTGTAGTGTGACAGTGTGTGGTGATGGTGACTGTGTTGGCAGAAGTTCCATGAAGTTGGGTGATTGGGAAGACACCTCAGGCCTGGTTGTCTTCAGGATCTGAATTTTGTTCAGTTGTGAGGTCACAGGGGTATAAATAGGCGTGTTTGCTGGAGCGTGCGTGCCTGGCTTTCGGTTGTGTTGCGAGTGTGGCTGTGTTCTTTTAGTTCACAGAACATTGGCCCAGGCACTGGAAAGGACCTTTAAAGATGTTCTAGTCCAATCCATCCTTTTCCAGATGCAGAAAGAGTCAGGGTGATGGGCAAGGAGTTACCCGCAGGGGGCGCACTAGCTTCAGGTTGGCTGGCGCCCAGGTCCCCTTTGGGGCCCGCGCTCCCTGCGCGGTGAGCGTCAGTGCCCGGCTGGCTGCGGTTGCGGGGAGAGGTGGCTGCGGGATGTGGTTTGCAGGGCTTGAGCCTAGTTTATGCCCTTGGAAGCAGCCTTGACTGTGTTGGGTGGCAAATGTGGTTCATTATTCTCCGTGCTGCCCTGAGCATCAGCCTGACCCGCGCCTGGTTTTCTCCCAGAGGCCCCTGGGCACCTACCCCGACGAGCACTTCACCGAGGAGGCCCCGCGGCGGAGCATCGCTGCGTTCCAGAGCCGCCTGGCCCAGATCTCCCAGCACATCCGGGAGCGGAACCAGGGCCTGGCCCTGCCCTACACCTACCTGGACCCTCCCCTCATTGAGAACAGCGTGTCCATTTAATCCCCTCCTCCTCTCACCCTGGAAGAAGGGCCCTTAGCAGGGGGAGGGCCGGTTTCCCCGAGTCCTCCCTGCTCTCCATCAGCCTGAAACTTCCCCTGCAGGTGGGGCCTTTCCCTCCGAGATGGCTCTAGGGCCGTGTGAAGGGGCCCTGAGCTGTGTCCAGGGCGAGAAGCTGCTGGTTAAAGTCAAGTGCACAATAGACCCTCCAAGGAAGGACCCCATCCCCCTCGCCCTACTTCGGGCAGCCTCCTACTTCCCTCTCCTGTCAAAATCTACCTCCTCCCACTGGGATCTTAAGCGCTCCTTCCCAGCCTCCCGCCATCCCAAAACTTGCTCCTACTTTGCCCCTTTGTTTCCACTTTCCTCTAAAGCTGGGACCAACGAATCCAACTTTTTCCCTGGAAGAGCCTGGAGCCTGGGCAAGGAAGGCTGTGGGCCTCAGACCTGCCATCGGCTGCCTCTGACCCCAGCCTATTTAAGGGGAGGGGGAGGGTTAGAATCAGAGCCCCGCTTACCGGGGCCTCTAGCCGTAGTTCTCTGAGGCCACGCTCAGCAGCCTGGATGTGTAGGAGTCTCTCCCCAGCTCTCATTTTCCCATTGCCATCCCCCCCCCTTTTGTTTGTCCTCGAGCCCAGTGAGTTCAATAAAAACCAACATATTTGACTCCCATTTCATTTTTGTTTTGATAAATGTGTGTGCATATCGGTGGGTGGGGTAGCAGGGGGTTGGAGAAGGATGGAGCAGCTCTGAGCCCCTGGGTCATCTGTTCTGGAGACAGGAAACCTCCCAGTGCAACCCCCACCTAGCCAGGCCCTGCATTCGTGCCTTCACCTCCCAGAGCAGGTCATCCATCAGGAAGTGAAGGCAGATCCACACTCAGGGGCTGATAGGAAAAACGAAGGTATTTTGCAAAGCCTGCGGATCCAGCTTCGGGGTGTGGGCGTTACTAGCGTCGTCACGGAGATCTGGTTTCTCTTCAGGACTCACTCACTGGAAGACTCAGCTTCTAGCTCTCCTGTGGGTGGGTGGAGTCATGGATGAGTTTTGGCCAATGAGCTGTGAGCAGAAGTGATACAGGTCACCCAAGGGCTGGAACATTCATTACTGGCACGAGCCCCCAGAGTTCTCTTCTTTGCCTCTGCTGTTCTAGAAGCACATGTTGAGATGGCGTTTCCATCAGCTTCTTCCCCTGAGGGACTAGAGCAGAGCCCCCTGCTGACCTGAGTTGGACATGATGCTGAGAGAGAAGTAAACTTTTGTTGGGTTAAGCCATTGAGATTTGAGCCGCAGTTTGCCGACCACGGACCTAGCCCATCCTGGCTGAAACAGATGGCAATCTAGGGAGTCTGATGGTCTCCCTTCAAAATAGATATTTGTATCTTTCTCCATAGCCACTCAATATCTTCCTGTTTCCTGCTTCCCTGGACCTCGAATCCTGCCCCCTTTACCTACTCTGCTTCTTGAGTCAAATTCTGTGCCTGATCACACTCTGTCTCTGGCCGGAGACACAGTGCAGGGGGTGGGAGGTGGGCGCATGTGGCTCGCGAGCCGCAGTTTGCTGACCTAGCCCATCCTGACTGAAACAGATTGCAATCTGGGGAGTCTGATGGTCTCCCTTCAAAATAGATATCTGTATCTTTCTACAACACACTCAACACCTTCCTGTTTCCTGCTTCCCTGGACCTCAAATCCTGCCCCCCTTTACCTACTCTGCTTCTTGAGTCAAATTCTGTGCCTGATCACACTCTGTCTCTGGCCGGAGACACAGTGCAGGGGGTGGGAGGTGGGAGGTGGAAGGAGTGTATGTGTGCATCTTTGGTTATGGCAAAGGTCAGATTTTCACATCTTGCACCTGAGATCCTGGGAGATGATGGTCCTATGTCATTGTGCATGAAGAAGTATGTTTGGAGATATCTCACCTGCAGATTCCAAGCTAATACTTTAGTAAAAATCACCAGATTTTGTCCATTTTGGACTAAGAAATACCCAGAGGCGTCCCTTGTGGCCAGTAAGACTGTGGCAGAGGCTGGATGTGCCCGCCCTTTAAGCCTGGGCTTTCACTTCGAACAGCAGGACCAGGATGTGCTGGAAGGGGCAGCCTGTCCCTCCAAGAGGACGAAGACTCGGTGTGCGTGCAGCGAAGTTAGAATGAGGCGTGCGCGTCCTAAAAATGCCCCTGAGTCGGAGAGGGAGGGCGCAGGGCGGGTCACTAGAATCTGATTTTCCAGAAAGCCAGTTTGGAGGGAGATTCATTGGGGAGACACCGCCAGCTGCACGCAGGATTCTGCCCCGGCTCCGGGCGTCTCTGGGGAAGGGGCTCAGGTCAAGTTCGAGGCCTGTCCGACAGGAAGCTTCCTCTAGCGCGCACTCCGGACCCTTCTGTGCATTTGGCCAGCCTGGAAGGTGACCGGTATAGCGAGAGGCACACCAGCCCTCTTTTCCCGGATGGCCTTGAGCAAGCCCTTCAGCCTCAGTGGCCCAAATATGTCAGATGGATGGGAGGGACAAGAAGACTTGGAAAGTCCCTCCAGCATTGACGTCCTAGGATCTGCTTGCCTCATGGCTCCTGTCTCCCTAGACACAGTTTGAGACACTGGGGAAGCAGCTGTCAACTCCCCTGGTACCATCCTACCTCACTGGCTTACAGGGACACAGACAGCGAACACGTAGATAATCACACAAGCAAATCAATTCTTTCAGAAGGTTGTAGTGTAGTCGGGAGATAGAACCAGGTGGGGTGTGAGCCTGATGGGAGGTGGGGGGGGGCATTAGGCCTGGTGGTCAGGGAAGGCCTCTCTGAGGTGTGGCCGTTGAGTTGAGATCTGGATGAGAAGAACAGAACACTCGGGGCAGCTTGGGGAAAAGGCGTCACAGACCAGGGACACGTCAAGTGCTGGGTCCCTGAAGGGCATGTGTTTGTGGAGTGAGGAGAACGCCGGAGGGGCTGGAAGAAGGTGGCTGAAGGATGGCCAGAAGCTGGGTCATGCATCGTCCTTGGTCTTGATTCTAAGGGCAACACCATTCTAAGTTCTGGTGAGTTTTAAGCGGAGAAGTGACCCAATTTGATTTTTGTCTCTGCGTCCTAGGCGTGTGGGGGTCTCAGGGTTGCTCCCTGGCTCGCAGGGCTAGAGGTGAGGCAAGATGGGGAGAGGGGTGCCGCAGCAGTGAAGACTGGGCTTCCTGTGTGGGCGGCCCACTTTTAGCCAGCCGTGCAAGCTTACATCCTTCCCAGAGGCCTCTCCTGCTCTCCGGGTCCAGCCCGGTCCAGGAGAACCAGTTCTTCAGCCCAGTGAGCACCTACCCAGAGTCATGCGTCCACGTCTTGGTCGTAACTGGGGAGTGCCCCAGTGACATCCTCATGCCTAATCCCGTCCATGTCCCCAGCTGCATTCCCATCCCTACCGTCCCCACTTCCATCTCTGTTTCCCTCAGGACCCTAAGCCCCACTCCAGACTACAGCCGCCACCACTCCTGCTTTGTTGGGAGACAGCGAGTGGCTGAGGGGAGACCTACTGAGAGTGGGTTCTGCCTTGAGGAGGCAGTCTTCAGGGGATGGAGGTAGAACCCTACCAAACTCTTCTACAACCACGGCGCCCTTCCCCATTCGCCAAGGTCCCCTCCTACCCTACCTTCCCGTCACCTGTGTGCCCCTGCTTCCTCCCCACCCCCCACTGAGTGATTTTCCCACCAGGTCAGAGATTCGGGCTGGGCCTCTCACCCCTGTGCCCCAGAGGAACCTGGAGGTGCAGTTTCCCAAGTCCCCAAGCCTCAGTTACCACTCCACCCCACCCTGCTCCTCACCAAGCCTTAGCAGCCCCCTGGGGACACGGTCTCCAGGGGAGAGGAGTGGCTAGAAGGAAGGAGGCTGGGAGAGGTTGCAAGGAATTTGCATCTTAAGATGCAAATGTGCATCATCAGGCTTCTAGCATTCCTCAAGAGTCATGGGGTGGCTGAGAGGGCGGGCCTGACCTGCCTGACAGCTCCTATTCTCCGTGGGGACAAGATGGTGCCAGGTGGGTGAGACAGCCCTGCCAGTCACCCAGGGCGGGGGCATGACCTTCATCTTCAGCCTTCTCCCCCATCCTGTCTCCATCTCCTTACCCCATTCCCCACCCCCCCACACCTCCCCCTGCCCCTCGCCTCACCGTTACCCCAATCTACCTCAGTTCTTTGAATCTTCACCCTAATTCCAACTCTACTGCTGATGCAATTCCTAACCCTGACCTTGTTCTTATCACTAATCCATCCAACCATTAAGAATTATGTTTCGCCCGGGCCAGTGTGCTCAGTGGTTAGAATGTCAGCCCCACACACTGAAGGGTCACAGGTTTGATTCCTGGTCAAGGGCACATAGTTAGGTTGCAGGTTCTACCCCTGGCCCCTGTCAGGGTTCAGGCAATCACCAATCAAAATGACTCACACTGTTGTTTCTCTCTTTCTCTCTTTCTCCGTCCTCTCTTTCACTCTCTCTAAATATCAATGGAAAATATTCTTGGGTGAGGATTAATATAAAAAAAAAAGGAATTTTGTTTCAAGAGTTTCCAAGGTGTCGAAACCGGTTTGGCTCAGTGGATAGAGCGTCTGCCTGCAGACTGAAGGGTCCCAGGTTCGATTCCGGTCAAGGGCATGTACCTGGGTTGCGGGCTCATCCCCAGCAGGAGGTGTACAGGAAGGAGGCAGCTGATCGATGTTTCTGACTCTCTATCTCTCTCCCTTCCTCTCTGTAAAAAATCAATAAAATATATTAAAAATAAAAGAGTTTCCAAGGTACCAGGTACTGTGCCTGGAGTTGGGGAGAAAAGCAAAGCAAATGACAGTTTAATCTTTTGGGGAAGTCAGACATTAATAAAAAAAATGTTAACTACCTCCCAGCTGGGTGTGCTTAGCGGTGGAGCATTGACCTCTGAACCAGGAAGTCACGGTGTGAGGTGTGATGCCCGATGGGCTCGATCCCTGGTGGGGGGCATGCAGGTGGCAACCAATCCATGATTCTCTCTCATCATTGATGGTCCTATCTCTCTCCTTCTCCTTTCCTCTCTGAAATCAATAAAACATTAAAATAAAATAATTTAATAAAAGTTGCCAAAACCGGTTTGGCTCAGTGGATAGAGAGTCGGCCTGCGGACTGAAGGGTTCCAGGTTCGATTCCAGTCAAGGGCATGTACCTGGGTTGCGGGCACATCCCCAGTAGGGGGTGTGCAGGAGGCAGCTGATTGATGTTTCTCTCTCATCGATGTTTCTAACTCTCTATCTCTCTCCCTTCCTCTCTGTAAAAAATCAATGGAATATATTTAAAAAAAAAGAATTATGCTAAATCTACTTTGAAAAAAAAATGTCATTTCACTCCCTAACTCCAACCACACCCCTATCTCTAAGCTCAACCTGAACCTACCAGAACCTTCTCTCCATCTCAGAATCCCAGCTCCCCGGGGCCCTAACGTGGGCTGGGCACCATTTGACCTTCCCTCGAAGGTTTCAGAAGGTGCCACCAGGGAGGAAGCCTGGTTGGTGCTTCCTGGTTGGCAGGAGCTGCCCTGCGAGGCAGAGGGGAGAGGGCAGGCCCGGAAAGGGGATGGGAATGTGACTCTTCTCACTCTCCCTGGGTCTCAAGTGCTGGCTGTTGAGGGTATAACTCGGGGCCTCTCACTTCCTTCATGTGTTTCTATGTGTATGTGGGGAGCATAGAGTCTTAGTCCCAACACCTTCCCAAATTTGGGCCTATCCCAGGGCCTGCCTCACCCCAGTCCTCGTGGCTCCCTTTCCACTCCAGACTTATTTTCTTCAGAGCACCCGCTGGCTAAGCCTACGGCAAAGAAATTGCTCACTGTTTCTTGTCCTTCTCCTCAGCTTCAGGAAGCTCTGTGTGTATTTTATTTCTTCTTTGTATCTGCGGTGCCTAGAGAAGTCCCTGGAACACGGTGTGTACCCTTTAAACATCTCCCGAATGAATGAAGGCATGGAGGAATGCATGACCGGGTTCCCGACAAACCCGATTCCATTGAAAAAAAAATCTGATCCCAACCCTCTTTCTAACTTCATTCTTTCTGTTCCTATTTTGGGGGTAGGTGGGAGGTGGAGCGAGTACTTTATAAAATTGAGGGATAACACAGATAGAATAAAGTGTTTATAGTGTCATATATGTCACCCAGATCAAGACATAGAACATTTCTAGCTCCCTACATGGCTCTCCCAGGCCAGAGCTACTCACTGGTCTGACTTTTATAAGTATCACTTGGGTTTGCCTGTCCTTGAACCTCATATAATGGAATGATAGAGCGTGTACTCTTCTATGTTTGGCTTCTTTTGTGCAAGATCATTGTTATGAGATGAATTCATGTCATAGTTCCTTCTTATTTTTAATTGCTGGGCAGAGTTCTGTTAGACTACAAATTACACCGACCCAGTCTACTGCCGACAGACACGGGGGTTGCTTCTTTAGCTACTGCAAACAAAACTCCTGTGAACATTCTTATAAAGACCCTTTTCCTGTTAAGATCTTTTATTGATTTTTAGAGAGAGAGGAAGACAGAGGGTGCAAAAGAAACATTGATGTGAGAGAGAAACATCAACCAGCTGCCTCCTGCACACCCACCACTGGGGATGTGTCCGCAGCCCAGGTACATGACCTTGACCGGAATCGAACCTGGGACCCTTCAGTCTGCAGGCCGACGCTTTATCCACTGAGCCAAACAGGTTAGGGCTACATATTTATTCTTTAGCTTAGTACTTGCGTCCCAAATGTACCCCAACCGTCTTCTATTTGGCCACCGCCTGTCCCATTTCCCAGAGAGGAATGGCCAGGAAGCAGGCCAGCTGCACCCTTTCCCCTCACCCCCACCCACCGGGGACCCCAGAGCCAACGCAGGTAACTGACTGCCCATGGCTCTGTTCAGCAGAGGTGCCCAGCTCTGCAGCCCACGGGCGGGCTGAAGGAAGGAGCTTATTAGGACGATAAAGATCTGGGGGCCCGCCCAGGCCCCTCCCCCAACTTCCCTGGGGCCCTGGCTCAGGCTGGACTGGCTCCCCCACCCAGGAGTCTTCTTCATCTAAGGCATCTTCCACCCGCCCTCTCAGGCAGGCCCTGCGCCCTGCCTCCTGGCCCTCCCTGCCAGCTCCCAGAGGGCTTGCAGCCCAGACACCTGCTCAACAGCCAGGAGCACGGCCTCACCCAGCCTTCCTGGCTCCCATCCTGCCGCCGAGGGCAGCAGCTTCGCCAGGATCTGGGCTGCGGGGGGCCGGTCCTCCTTGCCTCGCCTGGCCACCTCGGGAGGCTGGCCTGTCCACTCCTCTCTGTCTGGCTTCCCCGCGCAGCTCTCCACAGTGTTTGGGATTCAGCTCCCCCCCGCCTCCTGAAGAGCAGCCATGGCCACCTACAAAGTCAAGGTGGCCACTGGTGACGACTTCTTGTCAGGGACAATGGACTCCATCTCACTGACCATTGTGGGGACCGAAGGGGAGAGCCACAAGCAGCGGCTGAACCACTTTGGGAGAGACTTTGCAACCGGGGCGGTAAGTGTGTGTGTGTGTGTGTGTGTGAGTGTGTATGTATGATGTATATGTGAGTGGTGTGTGTGTGTGTGTGTGAATGTGTGTATGATGTATGTGTGAGTGTGGTGTGTGTGTGTACGTGTGAGTGTATGTATGATGTATATGTGAGTAGTGTGTGTGTGAATGTATGTATGATGTGTGTGAGTGTATGTATGATGTGTGTGTGTGTACGTGTGAATGTATGTATGATGTATATGTGAGTGTGGTGTGTGTGTGAATGTGACGTGTGTATGTGATTGTGTGTGGTGTGTGTGTATATATTTGTCAGGTATGTATGATGTATATGTGAGTGTGGTGTGTGAATGTGATGGGTGTATGTGATTGTGTGTGGTGCGTGTGTATATGTATGTCAGT